CAGAAGCCGTATCAGCACTGCCAGGTGAGGCTGCCCAGCGGCTGTTTCTACTACTGCACAGTGGGAACAGCCAGCATAATGAGTTGTTATACTGTTGTACTGAGCTTCTGAGCTGGTTTGCAGGTACATGGGATAGGCGCCAGAATCAATTTTGCTCCTTTATGTTTAGTTGTGTAGTAGAGCACAGATGTACCTTTATTTTAATTTGCTTTGCTACTTAATTGCATGCCTTCAACTTAAGAGAAATTTAGCCTTGCTATATACCTAGAAGAACTTTTTCTTAAATTTATTTTCAGACAGTGTTAATTTTAAAGATCGCCTTTGTTTGAGAATCCCATATGTTCACTGTAAATAGACCTTCGTTTGCAAAGAAAGGGATAAAACAAAGCCCCAAACATTGATTTTTAAATTGAGTAAAACTCCAGGACAGCTAACAGCATGCCTGACTGTCATAACATTGCTCTAAGACTTCTACAGAGGCCCCCAGCACTTGGGTCAATACAGACCCTCCATCTGCAGGCAGGTCTTGTCCCCTCTGCAGAGCTTTGGTCACTCTGCCCAGGTGCCGTGGAGATCTGCCTCCTTTCAGCATTAGGACCATACAGCACATTTAAATGTCCTCACAAGGAGATCAGGGTACAGTTTTTCCCTTGTGTCAGCAGTAATTCAGAAATATCCATACTCTCAGCTTGTTTTCAAGTGTGTCAACGTTCATACACACGTTTGCCCTTTGCACCAAAATGCCCCCGGGATGACAGACCTGCTTTGTAGGAGTAAATTCAGGCACACGTGTAAGTACAGAGATAAAGCTGTTTTATTTGCCAGTCTCCAGTGCTCTGCACTACACTTCTACATCTAGTTTCCTCCAACAGGATTAAAAGCCATCAGATTACAATATGGTGGCCTTAACAGGATGGGTCAGTATCATGCATTGTAGAAAAGTATTACGCATATAAGCAGAACATATTTAGGCAATTCACTGAACTGGACGATAGGTCAAGAATGTATTTAGGTTAAGTCAAGTTTGTCATATTCCCCCCCTCTCCTGCTTGTTTTTTTCCCCCCACATTAGATACCAGCAAAAAAAAAAAAAAAAAAAAAAAAAAAAAAAAAAAAACCCTTCCCCATCCCTCTTCAGAAATGAACTTTTCTTAGATCATTTCTGATCACATTTTTTTTTTGCAGCTAAGCAGAACCACAAGGCAGAAGTAAAAAAGGAAAAAAAAAAAAAGGAAAAGAACCTGTTAAAAATGATGCAACTGGCTTTTTCCCTTCCCCCAAACTGTGAAGATTAAAATAGTGATTGCTTTCATCAAACGCCTTAGATCACAGCTTTCACTAAACAGACTATTCAAGCCACATTTCCATTATTCTCATCATCACTTATATAACAGTGACTGATTTTATCATTATTCTTTGTATGCATTCCCCTTAGTGCTCTAGGGTAGGAAAGGTTTTCCTCCCCCCATTCCTAACTAGCAACAGATAAATAACTTTAGCTCAGTGTCTAAGACAATGTCTTTTCTCAAAGGAGCCTTTTCCGTCTGGACAGCAATAGCACAAAAAATATGTTGTTGTGGCATGTGCCAGCCAATAAATTCTGTCACTGGGGGTCTTCATTTATTTACATGGAGTCATCTGGTTAACATTGTCTTTAGAAGACAAAGAGTTTGAATATTATAAAGAGCTCTTACAATATGAAGGGCAACTGTAATGAATTGCTAAGGTAAAACATGTTACCAACTCAGAAACCCTTATAACAGGAGGAGAACATATATCTGCTCCTCTGCTTCAGCCCATATTTCATGTTAATGGTTCGGCTTCCTTGTTGTGATTATGACATACTGCTTCTTGCATTTATCTTCTCTATCCTAAAACCTGCTTGTAAAAATACTATATGTACTGCAGATGTGTTCCTTTGGGGGCTTGCAAAAAAAAAAAAAAAAAAAAGGACAGAGTTGATAGCTAATTGTGAGTTTCTTAGGTCATTTGAAACTGCCCTGTTCCACTGCATTCATCTTTCTGCAAATAGACATTGAAATATTATGGAAGAGGAAATATAGCAATATGCCATTCACTCCAAAAACATCCTTTCTTTAAAAAAAAAAGTCTCATATCAGAAAAAGGAGCAATCCAGCAAACTGACCAGGACCAAGCACCAGCAGTGGATGAGTTGGCACTCTGGGTACAGCACCGGTCATTTCCCAAACCCTGTCTTCATTTTCTCAGTAGTAACACTGAGGTTGCAATATTTACTCTTCCATGATGTGGCAAAAGTAATTTAATTAACACTCAGAAAATGTTCGGATACTACTTGAAAATGACATAACACAAAACAAACACAAAACGTTGCTTAAAAAAAAAGAAATATTGTATTTTCCTTCTCTATGCTTCAAAGTTAGTTTTCCCTTTTTATGTAAAGACAAAACTGCTAGTGAAATTTTCACAGCTACCTCAGTGCCTTTTCCAAAAACATTTCCGTTACCCAGGCTCTTTTGAACAGTATCTTTTTTGGCTCTGCAGTCATTTGGCATATATAGCCTAAACTCCTTGTGGCAAATAGGATTCAATAGAACAGAGCAGCTTTCTACACACAATGAATCTAGGAGACCAGGGTATTCCTGGCTCTACCAAAACCACTTACATCACCTGAGGAGGACAATATGGTTCTTTTTTTTCCCTTAGTTTTATAATAAAATATGAATAAAATATAAATATAAATAAAATACAGATTAAATGGTCAAAATACTGATCTCCTTTGGAAAGAGATCACTGATAATAACAATATATACATTATTCTCAGAAAGTAACTTTTTTTCTTATCTTTACCACACATGGCCAGAAAGTGTTCTGGCACGATCAACTTTTGTAAGCTTCAAAGTTGACTGCAAAGTGGGTATATGTGGAAGGATGTGGGTATAGATCCTCAGCATGTTCTGTAACAGGGATACACACAGAGTGGGAAATTCTGCCCTCACCAAAATCAATAAGACTAGCATCATCAAATTCAGCAGAATCAGAAATTCGCCTCTAACCTTTACAATGCAGCTCAATGGAGGTTTAAGTTCTTTAAAATAAATCAAACCTCTAATCTTAAATACCCTTTGAAATTTGAAGTGTCTCCTGAGCTGTTGCTTCTGAACAAGAAACCTACTGTAGCAGTAACACAAGAAGACAGAAGGGAAAGGAATGAGGAAAGAGAGAGAAGAAAAACGGTAGTTTCCAGTCCCAGCTCCATCTAGGCTAGCTTATCTACTGGGAACACCTCTTCTGGGAGACTCCTACTGACATAACTGAAGCATGGGACAATAAAATGAAAATGAGCTCAAGATCTGGAAATTGTAGTCTAAAAACCATAGTTCATTATTATTAAAGTCTTTAAATGTGAGCTAAGAGAATCGGCGCATAGTTGCCCACCTCCAGAGGCCACCTCTGAGTGGAGCCGGTGCTCAGCGTTGTGTGAAGGTATCACAAGCTGCTTTACAGTGCCTTCTCTGAAACTTTTTTTCCTTTAACTAGCAAAATAATTAGTTATTCTGATTTTAGAGGCTGAGAAGAAAAATTTAGGACATTTCCATCAGAACGTATCTCCTTAATTGAATAACTTCCTAGACTCTCTAGTTAAAGTTTAAATAAATAACGGTTAATGACTCTGAAGCAATCAGAAATGTTTTGCCAAGGGGAAATCAACAGTATATTAAGATAGTTCAGTATTATTGCTGAATGCTAAAGGCAGCTTTTAAAGATCATATGTTTACTAAAACTAAAGAAATTAGATACATCTGATCATTCTGAAAGGTATTCTGACACCTTTAATGCCATTTTTCTTCTATCTGTGTAGGAACAATATTTCCTCTACATTACATATATATCAATGGGTAAGGCGAGCTTTCCGATTTTACCAATTTTACACAAAATACTGGTGTTCCTCTCTGAAATAAACTCCTATGACAAATAACCTTTTTATAATATCATGCATATTATGTGCTGCAATCCCAGGGGTTTTTAGATATACATAAATATATAGATAGATAGATAGATATACACATTTTGGAGGTACAGTGGTGGTACATTTTGATTAGTCATAATGGAAAACTTTTTTATATTTTTCAGTGATGTAAATCATTTTCCTTCTTGCCATGTCTTTCCACTTCCTCCCAAACTGCAGTGTTCTGTACAGAAACGATACTGTGTCTAACAAATTACCTCCTCGTCTGATTTATCCCATAGGAGTGGAAATGTACCCACCTATCTTCCTGAAATTCCCCCAAAAAATCCTGTAGGTTGGGTCCAGAAAAATAAGGAATTTGGGCACAATTCTGTGCCACTGATTCCCTGGCATTTTTATCAGGAGCATCAACCAGCCATGCATTAGACTTTAAATCAGTGAAATATCCATTTACAGTGGTTAGAGCAATATGATACACTGCACTTGGCTAACAAGTGAAGAAATTGGAAACAGATTACCTAAAACAGCAAATCCGAGCCTAAACTGGCTTTTAGAGAAGGTGCCAGATTGCTGGATATTCTTCCATCCAAAATGTTTCTCAAGTTTTTTATTTTAGAATCTTCATGATATTGCAAGGCACAAATATCCATCGAATTCAGTGTATATTTTGGGCATGAAGGATGGAGGTTTCATTAGCAGTTCATGTGAAAATCATTTTTAATTGATATTCAGTTTGATTGCACTGGAGTTTCGTACTGATGGCAAAACCTAAAGCAAAGGTCTCATCCAAAATCCTTTGGAATCAATGTGATTCTTAACACTAACTTCAGTGAAGACAGGATTTCTGCCTAAATGTTTTTTAAATAAAATGCATAGGTTATTTCTAGATCATTCTGATTACCTCTAGGATTCTGCCACACTAAACTATGACAGTTTGCCTGCCTCCCCAGACAGTTTCTGTGAATCCCAAAAGCTTACACTTTGCATATAATAATTATATCCAATAAAAAAATAGCATGAAGTGACTTTCAAAATCCAAAGGTCAAAAATTCAGCTAACATATATTAATCTTTATTATGTAACAATGATATAATAAATAAGTTTATGAATTCATATGACCTGTACAAAAAGCCGAAAAGATATTGCACCAAGTTAGGTACCAGCTATTTGGATTTAATATTTGTTAAACATATGATCTAAAATTATATACAGTTGTGGAGTTAAGGCAAAACCAGATGATACCATTAACACAACAGAAGGTTTGAAAAACAGACATAATTACAAACAAGGGGATCTCATCTCCAGCTAATAAAGTGGTTGTGTCTAAGGAAGGAATCCCTTAGGTTTTTAATAAAGCAGTTATTATCAATCATGTTAATGAAAATTGAAGAACAAGTGTGAGATTTCCTGCAGGGCAAAGCTGTTTTGCAAAGTTGTGCCTGAATGATCACCTTTAACCCTGGTAAGAACATTTTTCTTAATGGTTATAATCTGCTCTTCTTTTTAGAAAACAGCACGTGGAAAAGATACATATCCAACTAAAATACAACCACAACCTCTTAGCTTTATGTAGGCTAGACTTGATTGTGACCGGTGACAGAGCATAAATATATGGGTGAACCATCCAACACACTACACGGAGAGGAGAATTAAAGTCAACCACTTATCAATAATAATTACCTTTCTCAAGACAATGGAATAGATCATGTCAGTTAAGTCCCAATGACAAAAACATGTATGACCAATATATCAATATACAGTTCTTTGGCAGCAACACACTAACTCTTGATTGAAGTCTGAACTCAAACTCTCCTAAATTATAGACCTGGTTGCCAGTCTTTTCATAATTAAAGAAAATCCACTTCTCCCATGAATCCAGTAAGTCCAGTAAATGAAATCTGAATAACTCTTGCAGGCAGCTTTAGACTGTAACATTAAGCATAGATATTTATCGTCTGCTTTAGTCTCAATCCAAATATATTGTATTTAAGCACACAAAATTCTGTGAAACTTCTGAGTAGTTCAGATGGGGCCAAAATCCATAAAGAGAATCCATATTCACCCATGAAAAACCAATAAAGAAACATCAATCCTATGATGATAAAATGATCTTCATGTAACAGAGGCAATGATGAGTCCACACCTGGATGAATGTCACAGGAAAATTGACTTTACAGGGGAAACACCAGAAAGCCAGAAAACGTAGAATACTGCCATCCACCGACCAGATTACCTTTCTCCAATTTCAGGTAAACCTTATCCTCCTTGTCTAGATAGAGCAGGACTCCATTAGTGGCAGCTTCACGCGTGACGTCCTTGTCCCCAGCAAAAGCAGAAATGACTGGCTTTCCATTTAGCATCAAATTAACCTACAAGAGAAAAATCACTGAAAAGCTCTAATTAACAGAAAAACATCAAGAACTAGCACTGAATATTAACTACAGTGTAAGAGGTCTGCTAAGGTCCCAATCTTCACTGCTTTTTTTTGTTTGTTTGTTTTAAACTAATCATTACATTTATTTGGAGCGTACAAGCACATTCGTGTTTCATGGGCTTGACCTGCAGCTGAGTGAAATCATGGGACACTGTCCACTGCATGCCACGGGCCGGGCTCAGTCGGTGTGAAAGGTAACGCGACATTGCTTTCAGCTGTTGCTTGGGCACATTAATTGTTGTAACTCCCTGGTAACGTGGAAATGTGAGCTATTACCTCACTTTGTTTCACTTTGCCTACCTCACAGGTTATTCAGACATGAACTAGCAAAGAAGACATTTTCAAGAAACTTAGGCACCCAGAGATGCAATATAGGCAGCTAATGAGATGTCAAAGGTACTGCAGTAGGCTGGGAGCTTACACTTCATTGAGAGCAAAATATACGTCCCTTCCATTACTGATGGCAGCTTAGTTTTGAAGTCTAGAACAGACCTTTAGCTTTATGAACCACTGCACTGTGTTTTGGTACTGAATCCATTGTTCTATAAAACACTTCTGAAAGTCAGCACAGCCTCTGCTCTGAAAGCAACATCACACAGACACTCTGTAAATAAAGATGGGCAGGGGCTGGGGGAACAGACAGATCCAGGCATTTTTCATTCCCCCAGTGGCAAACTATTAGCTTTCTTCTGCTTTTTCTTTTTAAGCAGCTATAATGCAGTCACAGAGGGGTGAATTATGAAATGCTTATTCATATTGAGTATGCTGGCCTTGCATATGCTCCCATTAATTTTAATGGGAGTCGCCATGGAATAAATTAGTGCTCAGCATAAGTCAGGGCAGCAGAATCTGGCCCTGATTTGGGATTCGCCTATCTGGGAAATCCACTTAATCAGATGTCCCCAGGGAACCAATTTCAATTTAATGATATTTAATGGCACTAACAGATGTTCCAGGGGCATGGTAATATCACTTATGTAGGAAGCCTTCAGGTGATTTAGTGGTGTTTAGGTCTGCATGTGGCTGAGACTCAAGCTGGTTTGCTCTACCGCAATGGCTTTCAGTCTATCCCCCCTAGTTATGACACATGCAAAAAAAAGGGTATCAAGAGTTTACACATTGCTTGGTTTTGGTTTATCTCGTTCCTTCTGTACCATCTCTCTAGGTCAGGTTCCCCTGCAGATCATCTTAGTTATTTTAATCACAGCAGAAGACACATCACAGTTTTGCGTCGGATGGTTTCACGTTAACTCTGACAAAATGGAGCCAACCAAACCCATCCATCACTTCAGAAACTCTTGATCTATGAAAGATTTCGGGTCATGTGGCAGGTTGTAACACTCCCTGTTACGAGCCCCAGACTCCCAGGTTTGAGTACCTGGTATCTGAGACACCAAAGTCTGCACTGGGCTTCCAGAACCCAAGCCTTGACATCTCTCTTGACAATATGTCTTTTAAATACAATGAAGCTGGCCGACATACAGTCATTCTAGGCCATTTCAACCTTCAGCTTTTAAAAGTGTGAAAGGAACAAAGTTTGAGCATATTAAATAGCTTATAAGCTCATTATAGAGATTTTCCTGAGGTCAGTATTTCATCTAAAAGACTTTTGTCATTGACCTGAATGGAACCATGATTTCCTGTTGTAAACTGAAGGCGAATGACACCAGGCATGTGAGTGTCTTGCACCAGCTCTCTCTGCCATCTCTACCATTTACACTTTTGTCAGGAGCTTTACCGGCAACTCAAAGCCAGAGCTGCCACAAAGAAATGGCTGATCAGTCCTGTAGAAATCCATTTCATCTCAGCTTTGTACACTGAAAACCATATTCAGGAGCACAACAGATCAGAGAAAAAGCATCAAATACTTCTATGAATCTAGTGGTCTCATGGGTGGAAACAAGGGAAGCCGCAGGTGTTATTCCAGATCCAGAAAACCAGTATGTATGTCACAGACATTGCAGGATCTGGCATGAAGATTAAGGAATGTACTTTAAGGAATTTACTGTTGGCTCAGCAAGGGGATGTTCAGGAACTTAGAGGCTTTTCCTCTAAGCTAGTACATACTTATATTTAATTGGGTAGTTCAGCTGCTATTATGTTACAGAAGAAAACGCAGAATCACATTTTTTTTTTAATATATGACACATCTTCTACGTATTATATGGTGAAAAAAAAGTTTAAACTGCTATAAAGGTTCCTGATAAGACAGCCCTGTAGAGGTGTAACATTTCGCTGTAGTACAGAACAAGTAGACCACCTTAACTAACCTTGGTCCACAGCAGACTGGTGTCATGAACAGCCAGGCCACAAAATGTTACAAAAATAATCAAATCTGGTACGTATCCCCAGAACTCCTGTGTTCAAGACAGTCAGTTTAACCTGTAGCAAAATATGACTCTTCAATAGTATTTATGCAATTAATTGAAATTTAGAGCTCTGTTTTACTCTTGGATGATTCATTCTACTTAATGCTTTACATCACCCCAGATATTCAGTTCTTATGGTACAGAAGTGAAGCTAGGGAAATTTATCTGAGGTGAGGATCCTGCCTGATTACAGCTGTTCAGTCTAAACGGGTTCACTCTACTGCTAGGAACTCTACACCACAGGTTGCTTTAAACGAAGGTATTTTTCCTTCAAAGTGTGTTAAATACTCTTGTGTTCAGTCAAGATCCTATTCTAAATAAACAATTTAAGTAAAAGATTTTATAATCATACTTGAGCAACGTACCTGAATTGTTTGACTCTGATAGACTTTAATTACGTGAAAACTGAAACTGTAAATTCCTTTTCTTGGTGCTACAAAGACAGACTCCAACGTGAAAAAATTGCCCACATTTACTAGGATCTACAAACAAAAATATAGCATGGGAATTAGTACAGGTATTCAGTGCGAAATAAAAAATACAGACTATTAACTTTAGAAAACATTCACCCATGGAAATTTTTTAATCTATGTCTATGCGGTTTTATTCATTGTTCTCTCAATTAAGTTGGAATATAACTCATAAAATGGATATTTAGTTATGTTTATAGTACAACTTTACTATAAATAAACTAGGGTGGAGAATAGTTCTTACTTTGCTACTATATCATACCTTGAAGACCTTTCTTCTATACATGTTTAGAGGAGATAAAGAAAAGGCATTTTTGTTCATCATTCCCCAAAAATGGCATCAAAACACCAATTCAGGGAGTGGCATACTGCTTTTGGCTAAAAAGCAATGGTCAAGTCAACACCGGCTTTCTGAAAGTCTTGAGCTGTGAGGAAGGATGTAGTGAATGATATAATTCATCCACCAGTTTATAGTCAGACTGAGTTACTGAAATACCTGACATCTCTGAGCAAAAACTGGCTGTGAGCCTTTGCTGCTTTATTTGTTTTTTGTAAGCACTAATAATAATTTGCATTTGATTAAACAGAAACAAGTAACAGAGGGGAACATATTAAATAAGTGCATCGTCCATATGCTAAATACCTTCTCTAATGACTACATTTTTCTTTCTTTCCACCTAGTTATGCTTTCTTATTAATTGATATTTTCAGGCTCCTTTATGCCAGACACAGCCCTAGAAAGCCACCAGGAAGGTCCATGAAGTTAGGGTAATTTACATTGCTAGCATTAAGCTACGTGACATATCTGGCTTCAGTTGTCACGACAATTTACTGTTCATTATGATATGGTATAGGAAGCAAAATACCCATCAGTCACAATTACCTTGGACCTGCCCTAGGACAGGAGCTGGTGTACGAAATGTGTGCTGGCATCTGTATGTTACTAATAGTGACTGAGATGAGAGGGGCTGTACTAGGGACCTGTGATTGTTATGGAAAAGTTAAATTATTTTTTCCTTAAAATTCGTCCTTCTTTCCCCAATCAAAGGCTGCACAAGCCGTCTAAAATCTACACAGGCTGCTTGCACCTGAGCAAACCCTATCCCCCAGCCCGCCGGGGCCACGTCCGCGCGCGATGACACAGCTTAGTGATGACATTGAGCTCATAAGCGCTGACTCAGAGAGATGCAACACCTCCACTTTGGGGATAATTCCCCTGCCTGGTTTTGTTTTTCATACCGTGCAGAGCAGTGACTTCTGTTTGTGCATGTACATTTTAGGGGTCAAGTGCCTGCAGATGCTATGAGATCTGGTGTGCCCTGGCTACTCCTTGCCCAGTGAGACCCCCGAATGAGGGATGCAATCAGAACTGGCAGTTTCTTGGAGAAAGCCACTGCCACGCTCCAGGACACCCACCCCAGGAGGGAAGATCCTTTCCATTAAGGGTTGGCAGAGCCTACAAATTAAGAGAAGGCACAAGCACAGCTTGGCTGGCTGGGCACCAGGGCACAGCATCCCCCTGCAAACCAAGGCAACATCGGTCCTGGGGTACCTTCACTCCCTCCTGGGCATCCTAGATTACAACAGTGCTCATCCAACTCCACAAATAATAAATTATAGTGAGTATAGCAAAGTATCAAATGTCCTCTATGGACATCCTTTGGGTCCAGGGAACCCAGAGCTGTTGGGCCATCATCATCCCTTGCCCTTTCCTAGAGATCACCCTTACTCTTACCATCCGCTTCATTGAAAATGCGGATGCCTGACCCTCAGAGGGGTTTCTGCATTGAGCCCCTCCACATAGGAATTAAATACCCGGCTGGCTTTGATAACCTGAGTGTGTAGGATTGATACGGCTCTGCAGATCCCTTCCCGTGGCTCTGCAAGTCACTGGGACTCCCAGCATCTCTGTCCTGGATGACTGGCTGTGGCTAGAGCCCCCATTCAATAGCTCATTAAAGAGGATATTTTTAATTTCAAAAGGGTTACATATTATGAGGGAAAGTGCTTGTTTCTATAACCCAGATATTTACAGAAAATCAGGATTTCTTTACTCATTATTAGCATTATTTTAAATTATTTGCAGGGAAATAAAAGTGGTGTCTGCAGTCCTGCTCATTTCCTAGACAAACATTCTTGTTAAATCCACATCCCCATTTTAACTTTTTTTTTTTTTTTTTTCTTTCCGTCTTTCTTTCTTTCCCCGGGTCCTTTCTCAAGCTCTTTAAAACACGCCGCAAAAAGCTGCCGAACAAAATAAACACTTTCCGGTGCCCCCTTTTCTCCCCTCTCTCCACATCAAAAAAAAAGGAGTGAGAAGGACGGGGGGGTGGAAAAAAAAAAGCCCTCAGGTGAATTATTGATGGGAGAGAGGAGAAGAGAGAGGTCATGAAGAAATAAAACCATTTGACATTGCCATGATTGCCGCTGGTGGCTCTCTCTCCCCTTCGAGCTGGAGATCCAGGATGCTCTGACTGGTGGAGCGGAGAGGTGGCAGCTTACCCCAAAGCTGCCAGATCCTGTGTCTGATATCACTGCCGGGGTGCTGCAGACTCCACTTCTCTCTG